TCACAGGACTGATACCATAGGGTTCCACTTATTTGAGGTCCCTAGAGTGATCAGATTCATAGACAGGGAGCAGAACAGTGTTTGCCAGGGGGCTGGGGCTGGGGCTCAGCAGTAGAGCACTCGCCTAGCATGTGTGAGGCCTGGGTTCGAGCCTCAGGGTCTTGTGTCCAACTACAACTAAAAAATATTAAAAAAAAAAGAATGGTGGTTGCCAGGGAGCGGGGGTAGGGGAAATGCGGAACTAGTGTTTCTAGTGTTTGGTGGGTGCCAAGTTTCAATCGGGAAAGATGAACAAGTCCTGGAGAGAACAGTGGTGACAGTTGTCACACCGTGTGAATATACTTAATGCCACACAACCGTGCCCTTAAAAATGGCCAAAATGGTAGATTTTATATTGGGTGTATTTTACCACATAAAAAAGGATGAGTTTTATGGTATTTGAATTATATCTTCATCTGTTATAAAAATGGTTTAATTACAGCGTACTAATAGCACAAAGGGAGAACTTAAGATTATCTCAGTAGATCCAGAAAAAATGGGAAAAATCAAACATTCCTGACAAAACTCTCACAAAAGTAGACATTTGTTTGACAGTGATTTCCTTGAATGCCGGGAGAGGAAGCAAACAAACAAAACTGAAAATAAACAAGGAAAGAAGAAAAGTTAAAAATGCAAAACCAAAATCCAACAGCCTCCCCCAGTCTTGGTGGGGGTTTGATGCTGGGCCACTCTCTGAGCCAAGGAGCAGCCTGAAGCCTAAGGATCAGTCTTTACTAAGAGCTCATTTTCCCTGAGCATGTGCATGGCTTTCCAAGTTCCTCCTACGCTGCTGCTTCTGGGAGTCCTATTTCCCAAAGAACCAGGTCCTTCTCATCTAGGGCTTAGACAGTGTCAGTGTGCTCAGTCCCAGGTGTGTGGATCTGCAGTCACCTTGCAGTTTTTTGCCTGAGTTCTGAGTTAGAAAAAAAAAAAAACAGAGAAAAGCACCTATATGAGTCCCTCAGTCACTCCAGCCAAACTATAACCCACATGCACAACTAAGGTCCGGTGCACACCTGCTGGTCTGTGGGAAGGAACAGAGCACCCAGCTTCTGCCATTGAAAGACAAGGCTGCAGCTGCCCCCGGACAGAGGCTGTGTGATGCCTGAACATCATTTCAGAGCCACAACCCCGCTGAGGATGTCTTTTCCCTGGCTGAGCAGTTTCTTGGTTTCTGTGAATTTTTGACACTTTCTGGAGTACCTGTCTCAGAGAGTCCTGCTTGTATATTCAGTGTTCGGGGGGGGGGGTAGTGGAGGGGGAGCAAGACTGCTGACATCATGGCTCTGCTTTGAATGCTAGTTCTGCTGGGTATAGAATTGGAGGCTGAAAGACGTCCTTGTCAGTGCTTTAAAGCTACTCGCCCCCTCCTGCCAGCCACAGTCTTCTCCTTTACATTACTTCAGAGAGGAAATTGATGTCATTCTTAAGGTTTTTTATTTTCTTTGTACTTAACACATTTCCCCACTTCTGATTGCTAAAAAATTCTTTTTGCTGATTTATGCAATGTGCTTAAGATATACCTTTCTATTGTTTTATTTTTGCTTACTTTGGCTTCAGCTGATCTTGGATCTCTGTTTTTATACTTTCAATAAGTCTGGGACCCTTTCAACTATTCTTCAGGTATTTTTTCTATCCCTCCACTTTTTGTGGATCAACTAAACATGTTTTAGACTACCTGAATACTTCACGATAGTGTGTTCATTTAAAAAAAATTTTTTTTCCTCCAAAATGTTGGTTAGTTTCTCCTCCTCCTTCTCCCCCACATCCCCACTTTTTTTTTTTTTTTTTGGTCCTGGGGTTGAGCCCAGGGGCACTTTACCACTGAGCTACAGCCTTAGTCCTTTTTATTTTTTTATTTTGAGACAAGTTCTCTCTAGGCTGCTGAGACAGGCCTGGAATTTGCAATCCTCCTGCCTCATCTTTCCGAGTTGCTGGGATGACAGGTGTGAAACTCCATGTCCAGCTTCAGTTCTACTCTGTCTTCAAGTTCACTGATGATTTCTTTGGCCATAGCCAACCTACCATTCACCCCATTCCTTGTTTATCTCCTCATTGCCTTTTCATCTTTAGAAAATTGGATTTCACTTTTTTTCTATTTCCCATGTCTCTGCTTACCTTTTGAATGTATGGGAAACAGTTATGATAGCTTTCAATGTCCTTTTCAGTTCATTCTAACACGTGTCACTTGTGGTCAGTTTCAATTGATTCATTTTTCTCCTTTGGGTGTCCCATAATATTATCATTCACTGTGTACCTCATAATCTTTGATTGTATGTCAAACATTGTGATTTTACCTTGTTGGGCATAACCAGTTTTTGCATCCCTATGAATACCCATGAGCTTTGTTCCAGGATGTAGTTACTTGGAAACTGTTTCTTTTGGATTTTCCTTTAAAGATTTGTTAGTAGAAACTCAAGCCCAACTTACACCAAAACCAATTATTTCCCACTGTTGATGCCAAGACCTTTTGTGTATCCCAGCCAAGCCCTGAGAATCAGGAAGTTTTCTAGGCTAGCTAGTGAGAATAGGCACTTTCCTCAGCCCCTGGTGGCATGTTTCTTCTTGTTCTTTTTCTTGACTTTTCCCCCAGTCTTGTGTATATTTGGCTGTCTGTGAATTCAACCAACCATAGATGAAAAACAGTCAGAGAAAAAAATGCATCTATACTGAACAGGTACAGAATATTTTTCTTGTCATTAGCCCCTAAAAATGCAGTACAGCAAATATTTACCTAGCATGCACATCTGGAGACTTAAAAGCATACAGGAGGATGTGTGTCATATCTGCCAACAGCAGGCCAGCTTATCCAAGGCCCTGGGACATACAGGGATTTGGTCTCCAATGAGGCTTGGAACCAATCCCCATGAGTACCAAGGGACAGGGATGACTGCAGCTTCTTCACATGCAATAGCTGGAAATGGGACCTTCTGCAGATCTCAGGATCTCTTCCTGCAGGCACGCTCCTCCCAGTGGCTCATCTCTCGCTCCCTCACACCCAACTCTCAGCTCTGTCTTCTCAGAATCTTCAAGGCTCTGGATTCTTCTTCTTGATGCTGTGGTCTGAAAATTTTCTAAATCTAGTAAGCCAGGGCACTCATAGGACTCAAGAAGAATTCTCCCCTCTCTCATGGATAGCTGTCTACCCAAATAAACTATTTCCACTAGAATCCTTATTTCAGGGGCTGCTTCTGATGAAGGAAATTGATAAAAAAGAAGGATTCAGAAAAATAACCAAATTGTTTCTAGAACATTCCTAATATCCACACTGGGTCACTTCACTCTTTCTACCTTGTGCCATGAACTCTTTCCTGTGTGTCCCCCTGCCACAGTCATGGCACAACTGTTCGACAGATCCTGTTACCTAGGCTGCGCTTTGGACGTAGCACATACCAAATGCTACTTCATTTGTTTAATGAGTGATGTTCTAATCTTCCTCAGAAATTAAGTTATAGAATAGACACAAATCTAAATGACAAAGAAACAGCTCTAAATAGGTAAAATCCCTGTTGATTCTATTACCAGCAATTTATGCAATCATGCAATCCCTAGCACCAGAAAGGTGCACAAGATTTTCCAAGTAAATTACTTAATTTATGTATTTATTTATGGTACCGGGGATTGAACTTAACCACTGAACCACATTCCCAGCCAATTTTATTTTTTTATTTACAGACAGGGTCTCACTGAGCTGCTTAGGGCTTCGCTGAGTTGCTGAGGCTGGCTTTGAACTCACGATCCTCCTGCCTCAGCCTTCCAAGATGCTGAGATTACAGGCGTGTGCTACTGCGACTAGCTCAAATAATGTTTAATGGTTTAAAGTGGACATATTCACTGTAGTGTGAGATATTGATAGTGGACGAAGGAGGTGGGCAGGGGACAAGGAGGATATGAAAACTCTGTACATTGCCCTGAATTTTGTTTTGAACTTAAAAAGTACTTGAGAAATATAATTTATTAATTTTTAAAAATAAATAAATAAATGAAAGATACGTATAGCAACACTAATTGAAGTTAGTAGTTGATAACCAGATTTAAAGGGGGAAAACTACAACTTTATACGAAATCACATCAATCTCTTAGTGCCACCTCCTGGTGAGAATTGGTCACTGTTCTAGAAACAATTTTGGTGCTCTTGATTTTGATGGTTGTTCTATGTGAGGATATCGTAAATAAAAATTTGACACAATAGGAAAATATTTATACATGTCATTGCAAGCTGCGTGTGAGGAGCAGTCTCTGGTTTTATACATATATGTCTTAAGCCCAAACTAAAATCAGAAATTATTGATTTAGAGGAAAAAAGTTAAATGAAGTATTTAGAAATGGTATATAATAATCCTTCAAAATTTCTCCTGAATTCAAATTAAGGCAAAATGGTAAAAATAAAAATCAAATATATAGAGTTCATCCATCGTCCTCGGTCGGTGAGCCTTCTGGGTCATGCGGTGTGGCAGAGCCTGCAGAAACCGGAGCCTGGATGCTAGGCGAGTTTCTGGAAACCTTCAGGGACACTTCAAATCTACAGAGTAGAAACTATCCTGCCTCAGATCCACACGGCTAGATGGGAAGACACACAAACAAAATGAAAAAACAAGGGAATAAAGTGCTCCAAACAAACCAAGCTGCTCCCATAAGAGAATCCATCGAAGAAATGTCAGAGAAGGAGTTCAGGATGTATTTAGTAAAACTGTTCTATGACTTAATTATATAAGAGAGCAGGCACAGAAGTTAAGCAGTAAAATAAGAGATTCACTTCAGGAGATGAAAGATCACTTCTGTAAAGATAAATTAGAGGTCCTGAAAAGAAATAAAGAAGAAATCCTTGAAGTGAAGGAATCACTAAATCAACTTAAAAGTTCAATGGAAAGTATCACCAACAGACAAGACCATTTGGAAGATGGAACCTCAGGCAATGAAGACAAAATATATAATCATGAAAATAAAGTTGACCCCACAGAGAAGATGATAAATTGCGTGACATTCCCTCACCCAGACACCATGCCTGAACAGCAACTGCTAAAGCCAACCGAGTGGAGCTACTGTGACTACTTCTGGGCTGATAAGAAGGATCCCCAAGGCAATGGCACTGTGGCTGGGTTTGAACTGCTGCTCCAAAAGCAACTGAAAGGCAAACAAATGCAGAAAGAAATGTCTGCATTCGTCCGAGAGAGGATAAAGATTGAAGATGAATATGCAAAGAACTTGGCTAAGCTCTCTCAGAACTCCTTGGCTGCACAGGAGGAAGGCTCCTTGGGAGAAGCCTGGGCCCAGGTGAAAAAGAGTCTGGCAGATGAAGCAGAGGTTCATCTCAAGTTCTCCGCCAAGCTTCACAGCGAGGTAGAGAAGCCCCTAATGAACTTTCGTGAGAACTTCAAGAAAGACATGAAAAAGTGTGACCACCATATCGCTGACCTCCGCAAGCAGCTCGCCAGCCGCTACGCATTGGTGGAGAAGGCCCGGAAAGCCCTCACAGAGCAGCAGAGAGACATGGAGATGAAGACCCAGCAGCTGGAGATTAAGCTGAGCAACAAGACAGAGGAGGACATCAAGAGGGCTCGGAGAAAGTCCACACAGGCTGGTGATGACCTCATGCGCTGTGTGGACCTCTACAACCAGGCCCAGTCCAAGTGGTTTGAAGAGATGGTAATCACCACTTTGGAGTTGGAGCGGCTGAAGGTGGAGAGGGTGGAGATGATCCAGCAACATCTGTGTCAGTACACACAGCTGCGGCATAAGACAGACATGTTCAACCAAAGCACAGTCGAGCCTGTGGACCAACTGCTTCGAAAAGTGGACCTGGCCAAAGACAGAGAGCTGTGGGTCAGAGAGCACAAAACGGGCAACATTTGCCCAGTGGACATGGAGATCTAGACATGCCTGTGCAGCCCTGGGGATCCTGCCCAGGAGAGGGGCTGGGGGGTCCCATGGAGAGAGGGTGGTGGCTCCCGCTGGGTGAAGCTGCCCTCCCACCCACTCTCCTGTCCACTGAGGAGAGAGGAGAGAGCTGGCAATTCCAGAAGGGTGATCTGGATGGCTCAGCTGGGGAATCCCAAATATTCCCAGGCCAAGAAGACAGACCTGCAACCCTGCCCTTGTCTCCAAGACTGAAGCCCCCCCCAAACCCCGTGCCGTGCTTGTTGCTCTGAGAACAAACTGAGGCTGGAACTTTGTAGTCCCTGCTGAGTTCCATAGGGGTGGCCCTCACACACTTGTGTCTTTGGATGCCCCAAAGCCCATCCTCCAGCTGGTCCCTTTTTCTCGGGGGCTTTGGAAGAACAGGGAAGGGCTGTCTCTGCCTCCAAGCCAATGTCAGGATCAGAATCATGGATAGAAGGCGCTGTCAGCTCAGCCTGCACCTAGAATCCTTTACGGCCCTCTCTCTATTTTTCTCATTGTATTCTGGGAGCCCAAATCTGGCTTTTCTTGGCCACTTTTCATCCCCGTGGGTCTTGGGAAGGCCTGTCTTCTGTCTTCCCTGACCAACCCTGCCCAGAGAGGTCAGGATGGAACTACCTCATTCGGCAAATTAGCCCCAAGTCGGAGCATTGATTCACGGTTCCTATCAGACCAGGCATCATCTCTGAAGTCTCTGGAAATCCTGATCCCTCCATTCCTCAGCTGCTTTCTCAAGGCCGTCCCCACCCCCACCCTGCCACCCCTGCCCAGTCTCACTAGAGGGAGCTTTCCAAAGTTCTCTGCCAGGGAGACCCCCTCCAGCTGTGTGCATGTCCAAAAGCTTTGAGGGATGGAGATGAGCCAGAAACCACATGGGGTCTGTCTCCCATGGTGTCCTGTCCAACACGGGGCTACCCTGACCCCCGCTCTCTCAGGCTGCCCACCAAGGGCTTAATAGAGCTAGGTCAGTCCCACATGAGAGACAGGTTAGGGCAAGTCTTTGTCAGACTCCATCTGCTTATGCATGATAGGGTTTGGACTGCTGTCCCTTGTATGAGCATTGCAGACTCTCTCTTTGCTATCCAGGCGTGTCCTGCCACCTGGGCCTCCAGCTCCTCTGAACTTTCCAGAGCCCTGCACCGAGCCCTCGCTTGGTGCCAGCACCTCCTTTCCCTCTGTCCATCTTCCCTGGAGAAGCCTGAGCCAAGTGTGACTCTGGAAGCTTTTCAGCACTACCCCTGGGTTCAGCCCACCACTTTCTTTCTCTACTACAGCAAACACCATCTACCCCATCTTAGCCTAGAGAATCAGCCTGAGGAGGCTGGGAGAAAAAGTTGACACAGTGAGCAAGGAACAGCTTCTAGCCAGAAACCCCTGCTCTGAGAGCCCATCTTTCCCATTGATGGCTTTTGGCTTGACCCTTCCGTCTCCCATGGCGGCAGAATTCTACGAGCACAATTCAGGGATCTTTCCCTCCATTTTACATTGCTAATAATGGATGTTAATCTTGAATTCTTCAGCATCTCTTCCATTGAATTCGAATGGCTTTCTCATAGTTTATTTTAGAAAGATGTTCAATATACTAAAGCAAACCAGAAAAAAAATCAAATATATAGCTTTGATGAATTCTATCACGTTTCTCCCTGAGTTTTCAACTCTTAATTTTTGTAGCTTATTCACGACCCCTATCATGTTCTTAATTTCTTTCAATGCCTTTTCTTTCAGTTCTTTGGTGGGCATGGGTTTTAGACATGCTTTCATTTTTCTGAAGGAATGTATTCTGTTCCATATTCTCTTTTTAAAAAAATATTGTTTGGGGGGGGCTGGGGTAGTGGAGTAGTGGTAGAGCACTCGCCTAGCATGTGTGAGGTCCTGAGTTTGATCCTCAGCACCACATAAAAATAAATAAAGGCATAAGAAAAAAAATATTTTTTTAGTTGTTCCTAGACCTTTCTTTTTTTTTTTTAATTTATGTATATGTATTGCTGAGAATCGAACAAGTGACTCACACATGCTGGGCAAGTGCGCTATCACTGAGCCCAGCCCATATTCTCTTTTTTATAGAGATTTTATATATCTTTACTGTTGCTTATCTCATGTGAAGCTAGTTTTACTGAACTTGGATGAACGGCTGAGCTGAACACACTCTCTAGCCTCACCCTGCAGTGGTTTAACAGCTTTGAGCCTGCTCAGGTCTCTGGGCTCTGCTCAGGTCTGTTGGCCCCGCTCAGCTCCTGTGCTTGCTGGGTGTGCTCCTTTGCCTTCTCTTCTATTGGCCCTGTCCTGCTGAACTTTAATTCCTCTTCTGATGAACTCTCGGCTGCTGGACTTTGCTTTAGATGGAACCTTCATTTGTCAGGTGAAGAATTTCCAAGGCCCAGGACAATTGGCCCTTTTCTTATGCCCCTCTGTCCTCCCTCCCTGGGTCCCGCTGACTTCCCTCTCCAGGCTCAGGCTGCTGTTTTTTGGATTTCCAGAATATGGGCTGGCAGGCGGGATTCTTCTGTGTTCAGGTCCATCTGATTATTTGTTTCCCCTGATTCTTCCTTTCTAAATGCTGACAGCACCGACTTAGATTTGAGATTTCTTGGGTATATGTTGTCCTGACTGTGAGGAACATACTGTCTATGGTTTTTTTTTTTTTAATATTTATTTTTTAGTTTTCGGTGGACACAACATCTTTGTTTGTATGTGGTGCTGAGGATCGAACCCGGGCCGCATGCATGCCAGGCGAGCGCGCTACCGCTTGAGCCACATCCCCAGCCCTGTCTATGGGTTTTTGGTTGCACTATCCTGGTGGAGGTTTAAGGGAGAATTCAGGTAGATTAAACACTACACAGTCTGTGTGATAATTTCACACATGTATATAATGTGCATTAGTCAAACCAGTCTAATGAGCATTTCCACCTTCGTAAATATTTTCAGTTATTTGTGTTGGGAACCTTTAAATTCTTCTCTTCTAGTTTTTCATATCCCGTTATCCAATCTCCCTTTCTGCCCACTCTTCCCTATGCTTCCCAGCCTCTGGTAACCACTATTATTCTATTTTTATGAGATCAATTTTTTTAGCTTCCATATATGAGTGACAAGACAAGATATTGATCTTTCTATGCCAGATTTATTTTCCTTAATGTCCATCAGTTCCATCCATGTTGCTGCAAACAAAGGATTTCATCCTTAAATTACTGGAATATTCTTACCCAGCCATCCCATTGCCCATCTTAGCACAGGTTTCATATGACAACCAAAATGATTTTTCTGGTCATCTCATCCCTTTTTATCAAAAATCATCATTGCCTTCCCAATATTCTTAGACTAAAGCTCCACCTTTGTGACTTTGTGCAGGGATCCCTGTATGCTACGGTACTTTTAAAGATGCCCAGTCTTGCCCCTCCCATCTAACACCAACTCCAGCCTCCTGGAAGGTCTTTCCATTCCTCCCGCCCTTGGTACAGGCCGTTCTCTCTTTGGTGTAACACATCAAACCTACCACAGGCTCCCAGTTAACTAATCCTGAACTATTCCCACACTTAACTCTTGCTGCAGCCTTAACTTAAATGTTATATTGTCTTCTCTTATTCGACTTACCTCCTCAGTCTCTAGCTGATGTTCCCATGTGATCCCGTGACTCAGTTTCCCCTGCCAACTTAGAATTGATTGCATTGCTTGCTGGAAGGGCACATGTGCACAGGCAATCTCTAGGATGTGGCAGGTAATTACTGAAAATGACTCTGAGTCTCATCATTACTGAGAGTGATTTGGGTGACTAGTAAGGCAGTCAGTGCTTCTTGACAATAAACAAACCCTACTTTATGTAAATGACAATTGGTAGACCAGGATTCTGTCATCCTACTGGATGTTACTTACATCTGATAATGTATGAGCTAGTTCTCATTGACACCAAGCCAAGAATTCGGTTTTCACAGTAGAAAGCCCAGGCAAGGTGCACAATAAGGCAGATCTGAGTCCTGCCGTGCATTTTTTCTATGCTGTCCACATCAATGCTCACAACACAATGGCTTGTGTTCAACTGGCCCCGGCCTCAAAGCAGTTTGCTGGTTCTTCCTACATAAATTTCCAAAAGGGTTTGCTTGCCTAGAGCTGAGAGAGTCGGAGCAGGGGCAGGGGAATAGGATGCAAGAGACTGAGACACCTGGATCAGAACTTGAACCCACACTCCATCCGCAGCCCTCCTTGACAGGACAGGAGCGTGGGATCTCTGGCGGGCTCCACCTCCCGAATCGGCTCCGCCTCCACACCCGGGTCTTGTCCCCACGACCGTACCGTCTCACACCTCAATCCATGCTCCCGCCCCGCCCCGCCAGCACGCAGGTCCCCGCCCCCCTCCGTCGCCCCGCCCCCACGGCGCGGCCCGCCCCGGCGCTCCTGTCGCCCCGCCCCGTCCGCTCGGGTCGGCGGGAGCCCGCCTCCCCCCTCGTCTTAGCTGCCGGGTTCCTCGCGCTGGCCCGGCCCCGGCCCCGGCCCCGGTCCCGGGCTCGAGCCACGTCCCGGCCCGAGCCCCGCTTGCTCGCCGCGGGCCCGCCCGCCTGGGGCGGAGCTGCGGCAGGTGCCGGCGCGGGGCGTGGCGGGCGTCCGGGGCGCCAGGTGCGCCCCCGCGCCAAGATGGCCGACCGCCGCCCGCCCGCTGCGGCCCCGCTGCTGCGCGCCGCCCTCTGCCTGCTGTGCTGCGCCCCGGCGGCCGTGCGCGCCGTCCCGGAGCTCGGGCTCTGGACCCAGGCGGTCGACGACGTAAGTGGGCGGTGGGGGCCGCGTCCGGGTCCCGGCCCTCGCAGGGCGCGCTCGCCACCGGCCGGGGCTGCTCCCCTGGCCCCGCCGAGCCCCAGGCGCCCGAGGCCTCTGTCCGCGGTAGCGGCGGCCAGGGGCGCCCGACCCGCGCCCAGGAAGAGCAGGCTGGCCCTGCCGGGCGGTTGTCCCTGCCCAGCGCCCCCAGGCCTGGGGCCACGTCCTGGTTACTC